TTGTGCATGATTTACAACCCATAATATTTGAAATTACTAAATCCTTAATCCGATACCTAATGGGTGGAAACTGATCAAGGAGAGAAGCAACTTAGAACTAAGGAGAAACTTCCTGACAGTTAGAACAATTAATCAATGGAACAACCTGCCTCCAGAAGTGGTGAATGCTCCAACACTGGAAGTTTTTAAGAAGAGACTGGACAGCCGTTTGTCTGAAATGGTGTAGGGTTCCTGCCTGGGCAGGGGGTTGGACTCGATGACCTACAAGGTCCCTTCCAACTTTATTATTATTATACCCAGTTACAACAAAATAAAAAAGGACATTGGAGATTAGCCCTTTTTTTGATTGTTACATGTATTTTATTCAGTGGTGGATTCAAATATGTGAACACCGGTTCTCTGTGTGGATGCCGCTTTCGGAAGTCCATTCTGGACTTGGGCAACAAAAAATTAGCTACCGGTTCTACCGAAGTGGTGCGAACTGGCTGAATTCCACCACTGATTTTACTCCAAATTTAGTATGCTTCACAAGACAGACACAGATGATGGGAATTCGGAGCAGTTTTTCCTGGCCTGTTCTATTTTATGGATTAGGAATGGGAGATTCCATGATTTAAAAGCAATTGAGACGTTGGTACATTAAGCACATTTATCCTAAGATGCACATATTTTCAAAGGAAAAACGCCATCATCTGAACTGAGAATAGGATATATTATAAGATTTAAACTCACAGGCTATTAAACCCTGGTCTTAGGGACCTCATTTAAGATAGCTTTCTGATATTTGCTGGCCTTGACTTTGGGAAGAGCTAGATTCAAAAGGAGACAACAATCTCCTGGTGCATTTGTTGAAGGTGAAATTGGTCTTGTTTTGTGACTTTGCTTTGCATCTGTATCTCCTGCCCAGCTTCATATCTACCATATCTAGTGGGTGCTTTTGTTCCTATTCTAATTCAACAAGATCAGTTCCTTGTTCTTTATCCTATACCCTCCTTGTTCTTTACCCTATACCCTCCTTGCAGTGTTTTGTTCTTTCTAGCTTTAGATGTTCATTTTCTTTGCTCTTTTTAGGGCATTTTGATTTTAGATTTAGGGATCTGTAAAATGGTTATTTTCCCTTGCTTCTTGTAGTCAAGAGAGTTAAAGATCTCAGACCTCATGATTAATTCTCTCATTTATTGTGGTGAAAGGCCCTGCCCTGAGAATAATTTGCTTGGAAGATAACTTTAAATATTTCTTTCAATCACTTTTTAGTCTGTTAGAGATGAGTTTCTATACCACAAGTTTTTTCAAAGCACACAACCTGGGTGTGTATTTATATTCCTTAAAAAAAAAATCTTAATCCTTTCTATTCATTTGCACCTTTAGAATGTGCACCCACTTCTGTATTTCCCCTTTCTTATAAAATGCAAACAGTTTTCCTCTTTGAGGAGACCCAGTATCCTCTTTGATCAACAGGTTATCAGAAAGATAAATCACATTTTTTGGGTAAATTCAGTGTAAACCATAATCATTATTTTTAAATTGATCCTAAGTATTACCACAGCATGATCTTATATAACAGAAAAGAGGAGACTGTAACTGAAAAATGGCTTTCTCATTACACATTTTATGGAGATGTCCTGCTGCGTGGATGCATGTTGAACTGTTTGGTATGCTCCCCTTTTGAGATCTGGTCAGAGTTCAGCTTTTCCATTCTTGGACCTTGACAACTTGGTTAGAGGAACTGTACTCAATACATCTTGTCTTTCTGAACTTCTTTATCAGACAAACTAAGTATAACTTAGATCGTTAATTTTATAGTTTAAGAATAGGCCTTATAGGATAAAAATATATATTTAAACTAGTATAGAATATTTACGTTTATAGCTGTTAACACTGTAAATAATAAAAATAATTTGCACTGCTGTTACACATATCAGCAACATTCATAAATATATAGAACTTATAACCTTTTCCTATGCTGGGTGGACCACAAACAATAAGCTGTTCATGAACAAAACAAACCCTACTTAACTTGATTCCAAAAAAATTCAACCTGAAACATTGGTTAGAAGATAAAATTGTGGAGTTAGACAACCCTGAATGTTCAGTATGCAAATAATTGTATTGTACTTTGTACAATGCTAGGAAAAATGAAACTAATCTATTCTCAACTATTAACCGTAAATCATCTTTGCAGTGCTGGTTTACATTCACTGAATCCCAGTTAAGCACTGAAGATTTTTGTTAATATGCTTGATTGGTCACAAATAATCATCAAGAGCAAAGGAAATGACCAAATTGATTGATCTAAACATTCATATCTCAATGTGCCTACTTTGCTGGATAGATGTTATGAGATTAGGTAAATACGATGCTGTGGCAAAACACAAAGTTTCAAGTTTAGGATTGTGATACTCCAACAGTTTTTTTTTAAAAAAAAATCAGATTGAATTTCAGTTTGGAAGCTTAATAGAAGATAAATGTCTCATAGGTTACCAAGTTATTTTAAAACAACAATCCTTATGTTAGTCAAGAAAAAGAAATAGGTTGTGTACTATTTTTAGAAAGTTCAAAGTTATTTTCTAATTTATTTTGTGCAGATAATTGAAGATTTTTTTCTTCAAAATATATACATTTTCACTTAATTCTTTTCCAAGGCAACATTCAACTATTAGGTGTTCTGCTAACCTGAAAGATTAGATGAAAAGAAGTACTATTTGGAAATAAGTTCCAAATAGTTTCATAAAGAGAATAATTGTTCTAAGAAATTAGCTTCTAAGCTAAAATGCCAGTGTGATAATAATATTTTAATAGAGTACAAATAAATTGGAGGGATTTATGAATAGCTCCTGAATTTGCGAAAAGAAGGATGAAATATCACAAGAATCAACAGCTCTCACATTCTATACATTTCAGAGTGCCTCTGCTGGCATACCACAATATTGTTTTATTTTTATATTCTTACTGGAGTAGCTTTACTTAAAATGCTGAGATCAAATTAAATATATTCCTCATGTTTTCACATAACTCTAAAATTCTTAGTTTCAAGTTTTGAAATCTAGAGCTGCCCGTTTTAAAAAGTTTTAAAGTGAATGAAAAATAAACTCGTATCAGATACAAATTTATTCAACATGTTTCACCAGTCATGATTTGCAACCAGATACAACAAAAATTTTAACTTAGACATTTGGATATTCATCTTACTGCAATATTTTCTTTTTTGAACAGCACTTGAAGCTAAAGCAAATGCAATAATGAATAATCTAAGAAGGAATGTTTCAAAGAGCTTTGCTATATCATGAAAGGCATTTGATCATTCTGTTTCAGTGTTTAAATTTGTTTATGATTCCATGGTCTGCCATCTGCCACAAATGCTTTAGATTGGATTCTTGTGTTGAGCAGAGAATTGGATTCATTGGTCTAAATGGCTTCTTCCACCTAGCTTTCCTTACACAATGGTTTGAAAAAATGTTTTATAAAAATTTAAGCAATATTCATAGTTTGGAAAGTACAACAGTAGTTATGATAAGACTGGCTTGTGAAGAGTCCACCAAACAGCAGCTGCAACAAAATGAAAACATTGCCAGTATCTGTCAGATCCCTGAAGAAATTTATTGCTTTTCTTCCTATAGTATACATGCTTTTGCAACCATTTTTTGGGGCTTGCCATTCTGTTGGGAGGGGGGATGCTTTAGGGGTGCTGTCTTGCCACTTTGCCCTTTACGCAGAAGGAATCCAGCCGAATAACATCAACCTTATCTACGAGACGGTTTGTGCTTGGAATCAGAGGGAAACGAAAGCGGGGGAGACCTTGAAGAGCGCATCAATGGAGCCAGTTACCAAAACAATTTGTCACCTGTGGATTGGCTGGGATTTAAATGGACACTGAGACAAATATTACCATTGATATATTGCTTGCACGGGTTTTTCCTCAGATCTCCCCTTGTTTTCCTTGCTATCACTAGTCCCTAATAAAAGTTCCTTTTCAGACAATGCCTGTTTCAAGAGTTCTGCTTTCTTGGGAGACCTAGTTGAGGCAGGTCCTTACAGTATCTTCAATTACCAGCTGAAATTCTACACACGATGAACTCTGTACCAAAAATTTTCTTCAAAATGAGGAAGTATCATAAAGCCTCTCCAATAAAAAAAGAAATAGTAACTATATTGTTTAACTTAGTTAATAGGTTACTTTTGACTATATTCAAGCACTTGAAAAACCAGCCTGAACCAGAAAGGTTATCAAGGAAAACAGAATTGAAATCTGAACTAAAAAAATCTGGAAAATGTAAATTGCAATTTAAATTTTAGAATGATGAACCAGAGAGTTCTTAATGCAGCAGTTAAGACATATTTAGAGGCAGCTATCATTTGCTGATCCAGTCTTTATGCACTTTGATAGCATAATTGAGAAACAAGTGTCTGATCTGCATGGTACTTCTTCAGCATTGCACTTTACACCCTCTCTATTGTATAGAAAAGAACATGTAACCTTCTCAAGGCTGTTAGAACTACTAGAGCAGGGCTGTCAAACTTGCAACGTTATGTGACGTGTCGTGATGTATTGTGACTTTTTTTTCCATTGCTGGCAATGGGGTGGGCGTGGTTTTGCCATCTGGCCCATGGGCCGGCAGTTTGACACCCCTGTACTAGAGCAATTATCTAAAACACTTGTATACAAAATTGTGCCAGAGGTAGAGTCTGTCACAGGGTTGCATACTTTCCCCAAACTCTTGAGAACATCTAGAGCCTTTTGAACAATTGCCCCCGAATGATCATTTTTAATGTGGCAGGAGAATGTCATTAAAAAACAATTGGCAGTCATATTCATTGTATGTAGTTTTAATATATTTAAAATAATACATTTATACTATGGCTGTTTGCCCCATTTAGTTGCACACACTGGATTTAAATCATACACTGCTAGGAACTGGACTATCTAGGGTCTTCAACATGTACCATTTTATTTATTTTTTCCGTATGTTTATTGTTAAAATGCTAAAATACAAAATAGAAAAAACAAATATTAAAATACGAAGTTTTAAAAAAAGAGAATCAATGGTTACATTTGAATTAAAAACGCGTAGTAAAACAACATAAAATTATCTTTTATTGATATATCCTCCCTTTCCCTCCCATTTGTATACCTATCCACTAACCATATTTGAACTTTGCATCAATCATTAGTCCTGAGAAGCATATTCCTTATCTAAATCTTTCTCTTTGATATACTGTAAAAAAGGGAACCATTTCTACTTGAATTTAGTTAAATTTCTATTGTAATATAATGTCAATTTTGTCATTTGGGATATATTCTCCAATTTTAGTTTTTCAATCTGATATTGTAGGAAAGCAATACTGTTCAGCATACTTTGAGACCATAACAGCTATATTGAGTATTATGTTATCCAGAATATTCATATCCTCTGCTGATGTTATTCAAGGAATTACAGCTTCCTGAACAAAACGATTGTACTTAATACTAATATGTGCAGGAAGGGAAACCTTTATATGTACAATTATACATGAGCTAGGACGCCAATAATGCAGGATTCTAACCAACAAAGAAATCAATGTAAAAGGCTTTGTCTGAAACAGGTGTTAAGATTATATAAAAGGTGCTGAAAGTTATTTAGGACACTTTGGAGAATGGCAATTGAATAAATTTATATTAATATAATTCTCAGTTTTAAGAGATTTGAATATACAACATTTAAATTCTGGATATCAGAATTTTGCAGAAAAAACAATTTTAACCTTCTGCTGGCATGTAAATCTCTACAGCCATTGGGAAAAAATGAGCATGTTGTTTGATGTGGCACAAGAAGACAGCTGTATTGGTTGTGAAATCCTTTGGAGGCTGCTCAAATGTACAGAACAGCAATATATAGGTCCAATACATGCAAGCACACATATTTTCACAACTGCAATAATTGCTGAGAAGAAACGTTAATCTCCCCTCACTCATGTTTTGAATCAATCTTTCTATTTCTTGTTACCAGCTACATTGAGGGAAAGCTACTGAAGCATGTTGCCCATCATTGTCTTCAATGGATAAAAACCTTGGATATTAGTAAATTCCTGAAAATTATGTGCAAATGAGAATCAGAAACAGTACTCATTATTTGGGGCAGAGAATGCAGTTGATATCAAACCTGGATATATTATTTGTGCTAAAAATAATTAGAAAAATGCTCTTTCGTTTTGCTTTTAGTTTTTATTTTTACCTCCTATGATTATACAACTTTCAATAAAATGCTTTTCCCAAAAAAGTAAATAAAAATGGCTAAATAATTTGTAATGGCATAAAATACAATTTTAGTACACTGTCATTCTTATTACTACTAGAACAAATATACAGCAATGACCAAACTTTAAAAAGCAGCAACGGACCCAACATTGAAGAATATCCATTAAGTAGTGAAAATCAATCTAGGCCTCTAACTTTATCGATTTCAGTACTGATTGTGCATCTTTATATTCTTCAGATTCTTCCAACTCTTTTTCATTTTCCTGAAAGTAAATAAAAACTTCTAAATATTTTCAAAACTATGCCTCCAACATTTAGAAACAACATCCTATAATGCTTAAATTGTTGCTGTTAGTATCAGTGGCATTAGGAATAATAAACAATGGAATCATAGTTATTTGGCTAGGACAAGAATTGTGGACCTTGTTATGGTTAATTTAAAACAGTACTGTCTGGTATTTCAGATGGTGTTCCACAACAGTCCATCTTTAAATTGGTGAGACTTATCATCTGGTGATTTAAATCCAAATGTAAGAAGACAAAAATGAAATGCTTTTTCATGCACAGTATAAATGGTGGAATTTAAAATTGCCACAAGATTTATTTTTATTTTGTTTAGAAAATTTGTATTGCTGCCTGCTCACACATAGCAACTCAAGTCAGCTTACATCTATAGAAAAACACCCTACAAAAATAAAATAACAAGAAAAATAAAATAATGTAATAACTCCCCACCTCCCCACCCTAGCCACAACACACATTAAACTAGCCATTTGCTGGGGTCTGAGTTCCCCACGCCCACTGGCAGAACCAGGTCTTCAGAGCCTTCCAGAAGAGTGCTAAAGTGGGGGCCAGTCTAATCTCTGAGGGAATGATGTTCTAGAGAGAGAGAGCCACCACGGAGAAGGCCCTTATTCTGGGTCCCACCAGATGCATCTCCTTAGGGGACGGGACCTGCAACATTCCTTTGCCTCCACGTTCTATTGGTTCGGGTAGATATGACAGGCAAGAGATGGTCCCTCAGATAACCTGGTCCCAAGCTGTGAAGGGCTTTAAAGATGACAACCGACAACTTGAATTGCACCTGGAAGCAAATTGGCAACCAATGCAGCTCCTGCAGGAGAGGTGTCACATGTGCACACCGAGGTCTGCACAAAACCATGCGGGCTGCTGCATTTTGTACCAACAAGATAATGACAATCAATCCAGTACACCCCATCAAGATTAGATAACATTAATGACTACATTAGCTGTGATGACAGTATCTCTTGGACAATAACCAACATATTTATAAACATCAATTTTGGGGAAAAAGCAGCAGGAGAAAGCAATACTTTTATGTCCTACATGAAGGCTTCCCAAAGACATTCATGATGGAATGTGCACCTGAAGAAGCACTGGGGGGTATTTACCAGAGAGAGGCCTGGATTAAAAGACTACACAATCCCAAACTGGATGGGGGATAGAAGAAGAGTCCCAAAGGTGCTTTTTTCACGAGGCAACTGAACTTTCTTGTTTTTCTTTGAAGACATTTCACTTCTCATCCAAGAAACTTCTTGGATGACAAGCGAAACGTCTTTAAAGAAAAACAAAGTCCAGTTTCCTTGTGGAAAAAAGCACCTTTGGGATAACTATGACCTGGATGACTGAGAATCTCCATAGACGATAGGAAAAGAGGTTCAGGATAGCCTCACCGTAGAATCTTTCAGGATATATCTATAGGTTAGAAGGTTATAGCTTTCATTTGACAAGATTCTGCCCATTAGCTGAAAGCAAATAAGGGACTGAACTTGCGTGGACTTGATTGTGTTGTCTCCAGGCTTGGCAACATCTGATTGTCTACTGTCAAAACAGGATGCTAAACAAGATATACCTTTGGTGTTACCAATAAGGATCTTGTATTTTTATTAACTTGTATTCAGTTTCAGCCAATGATCTATTAGTTCTGTTTTCTGTTTCGGCTATGGTTTTATTATATTTGTTTGTAAATACTTATATTTTGTGACTGGTGCTTTAAATGACATTAAGCCTTTGAGTAATCTATATAAAAATATAAATATAACAAATCACAAAGGCCACAATAGTTACACTGTATTAAATAACTACTTAGATAAACACCATATATTTGTGCTTTCATATGGCTAAGCTACCGTGGAGCTCATTTGGTATCATGCATAAAAAATAATATGAGAGAAATACTTTAAGAGAGCAAATAATATACTAATCCAAAAAAGACTAATTCCTGCAATAAATTTAAGTTCTTATTTATAAATTATTTTCTGTTGTTACTTATGCCCCCAAAATATGGATTTTTTTTGCTCTGATTGAAGAAAGGAAAAGAAAGAAGTTGCCAAGTTTAAAGAGAATATAGAGATACAGAAAAGAGTTTCTAGAAATGATGGTCCTATGGGCTACAGTTAAAGAAATGTTTCTTAAAACTATGACAACTTCTAATAAATAGTGAATGCTGGGTTAGAAAATTTCCTTTAGCTTACAACTCAGAAATAGAGTTGAAGGGAAAAACATAAGAATCAGGCTTTGTATTTGTTAATGGGTTGGATCCAGTAGCTTCCAACACTTTAGAGCAATCGTTCTGAAAAATAGGCCTATGGCAATTTTCAAAAGAGTTGATACTGCAAATATTTAAGTTGATATTTCTTTTAAAGACTAACTTAAATACAGGGTTGTCTGAAGGTCACATTTAAGAATGGTAGAGGAATTACGCTCAGTGACTCATTATGCTTTTGTTTCTCTTTTATCCAAATCCCATATATAATTTTCTCTCCAACCACATCTTCACACCATCTTCAAGCTTAGAATATCAACCTGCTTACCTTAAGCCAACTTTGACACTGCATTTCACACATTTTATATCAACCCTATTTCAATTTAAACATTATCTGATTAAAATCTGGCATCAAGCATTAATTGATTGTAATGGAAATTCTTAAGTCACTGAAAATCAGAGGGAAGTTTTTTGGGGAGAGGAAGACTATTTTGGGCATCTATTCTGAAGAGCTGGCAATAATGAGATATGCACATTAACAGTTTGGTGATATATCAAAACAGAAGATGTATAAACTAATCTAAGTTCAGCTGCCAGTCCTATAGAAAAATTCTTCTTCCATACTTACTAATAGTTGAACAAGGTCAGAATGTGCAGCTTCTAGTCTGCGTTGGCAATCAGGAATCATCATTCGAGATTCTTGCAAGATCTCAGTCTAAAAAAATGAAAGTAGTTCTTCAAATAAGAGATAACTTTCCATTTTGATATTAGCTGCTTAAAATCAGATGCCACATTGATGTATATATTCGTACACATAAACTATTTTATTAAAGAAAGTGTATTTAATATTACTTCTACATTCAAGAAAAAACTATTAGAAAGCTTTCTATGAAATAGTTATTTAAAATACTATTTGATATAAACTATTTCCCCTGTGGTTAGAAACAGCTTGGTCCAAAATGGGATCAGCTGGTTATATAAATATCTCCTACATCTTTTGGGTAATAAATAAAAACAGTGTTCAGATAATACCGCACAGAGATAATTACTGCATGAAAAAAGTTATTGAGTTATTGATCACATTGGATGCTCACTGCAGGAGGTTCTGACTGAGAAAAAGGTAAAGAAAAATGAAAAGCAAAGACCAGCAGGCTCATATTTTTGATGCGTATCATGCATAAAAAAGTTATTACTCATCCTTGGATTTTGTTTTAGGAGAAAGATTATTCTCACCATGCTTTTTGTGAGAAATTACTGATCTGGCACTCCAGTGCCTTTGAACATCTTGTATACATCTCCAGAAGACAATGTTGTAATTGTCCATAATACCATCCTTTTTTTTTTTAATGGAGTATTTTCAGCTCTCAAATTCATGAGCTGAAAAGATGTGAAAACAAATCTGTCTATAACGTGGCTAGAAATGAAAATCAATTAGCAAATCTACTAAGCTTGAGGATTCCAACAGCAATAGTAATTTGTAGAACTATAAATAGGGTTCAGTATATACTGAATTGTGAAAAATTGTGAAAAAATTCCTAGATAAAGTTGGCATATAGGCAGCATAACATATTTCACTTTTTGCAAAGTTCAGAGTGCACTAAAGGAATATCCAATGATATATTCCAATTATAGAAATTCTAACTTGGAATTTGCATTGTTGCTTTTCCCTTCCTATAGAGCACTATTGATAATAATAATAATTTCTTAATTGTACTTTTTAGCTACTAAACGTGGATTACAGCTAATCCTTAACATAGTAACTGTTTAGTAACCGTTCAATGGTACAAAACACTGAAAAGTAACTTTATCACCAGTCCTTGCCCTTTAAGACTGTTGCAGCACCACCATGTTCACCATTTGTATGCTTCACAACTGCTTCTGACAAGCAGACTTAATGAGGAAACCAGAAGTAAAATTACAAAGCACAGTCATATGATATTTCGCTTAACAACCGCAGGTGATTTGGTTAATGACCATGATGGAAGTGAAGTCGTAAGCTTGTTAAGTTCATGTAATATTTCACTTAAGAACCATGTTGCTTATCAGCAGATCTGCAGCTCCCAATTGTGGTTGTTAAACAACTGTATTCAAATTATGTCGTAATTTGGGGCCCATGACTCCCGCGGAAATGACATTTGGGAAAGTTGCGGCTGCTTCAGTGCTACTGCAGCCATGTGATCTTCATTTTCAACAGTGACAGTTTCCCAGCGAGTCTTACAATACTTCGCTCCCTCCACCACTCAGAAGCAGCCACTCAGCTGCCTGTTGGGAAGGGAAAGGGGGGGAACAAGGAAGAAGGAACCCCAGCAAATCTTTCCTGACTCATGCTGCCCCCGTCCCTCAAATCCTGCTGTCCCTCTGCATGCCTCCCCTAACTTACGTGGCACTTTTGGGGCATCCCCACACAGTCTCCCTTAATCGACACACTCCATGTGCTTTCCCCAACCCACACGGCACCTCTTGGGCACTATCGTGCACTCTTCCTGACTCCCCCCCCCGAGGTCTTCCCTGACCGCATGGCACTTCTTGCCCACCCTTCCTGACCCATGCCTTCCCCCTTGCAATGTCCCTGACCTACATGACATGTCTCACATATTCCCAAGACACACCCAGACACCCTTCTCTACCTGCACACACCCCTCTGCATGTCCTAGCTATCCATGTAGCATCTCTTCCACATACCCTTCCCAACCCATGTAGCCCATCTTACACCTCCCCTATACAAATGCTGCCCCCCAGCTCACCCCTTTGCTCCCTTGCCCATCCAGCAGCAGCCCCTACCTGCTTGCTAGTTTTGGAGCTGCAACTTCTTGCTGGCTTCCCCATGACTTTCTCTCTGCAAGCTTACTACAAGCCTAGTAAAGGCAGGAACTCAAGGGAGGGAGGAAGATTTCTGATGGTCTCTGCCAGCTTCCCTCCTGGAAATGCAATAGGGAAGCCGGCAGAAGTTGCTCTTGCTCTCACTGCTTTTTTCCCCACCCGTGGTCATTCTGTTTCTTTGTTTAGGTAAGGAAATCTCTTTGAAATGACAACCCAATGGAGCACAGTTGTCTAGTTAATACGTAATGCCTTATTGTACAAAAACTATTGAAGCAACAAACGGTATATTCAAGGAAGACTGGTTCCCACATCACGAAGAAGTTGGGGAAAAGGCAACATTTTCTGACTCTGAACTCCCAATTCAGAGTATTGCTTTCTAGATATCTCTGCTTGTTACTGAAAAGTATTACTGCAGTTTAACATGGGAAGTCCTCGACCTTCAAGTGTAATTCAATTCTGGAATTAAGGTCATAGGTTGAGGCATCCATATGACTGGAAATAATTCTTCAGCCTTTTATGAAGTGGTCATTAAGTGAACCCATTCATTTGAATGGCATTTTGCCGGAAAATGGCAAAAAACATCATGAATCACAGTTACATGACCACAGAATGCAACTATCAGTTGTACAGCTGATCCACATGACATGCAGTCATATGACCGCATGGAAGGCAGTGGCAATTATTTACAATGATACATCCTGTGGCCATCTGTATTTGCTGTAATGTTTATATCCAAAGCCAAAATATACATTCTGAGTTGTAAGCAAATGAGAGAAAATGTAACTCATGACGTACTCATGAACTTTACCTGCTTTTTAATTGCATAGTTCTCACCATCTTCAGCTTTCATCTTTTCAATCTTTTCTTCTTGTTGTTTTGCTTCTTTTTCATACATAACCTTTTCTTTTGCCAAGCTGCACACAAAAGGTATAATTTGTTTAAATTATCAATACACATAAAATTTTCCTATCTGAAAAGTTTCAATACATAAAATGTCCATATATTACAGCTACTCTAGGGTACTACTTATTTTCAAATATATTATTATTAGTTATGCATTCTGACTGTCCCGGAGAATAACTAGATGTACATTTAATAAATAAGGAATCCATCCATTAGAATAAAAACAAAATTCATGTACAACCTAGCAGACAAATTATTGAAGTTGCTAAAAATACCACACAGACAAATGTAAGAGCAACTTCTTTTTAAACAGTTTGATTATTTTCTTTGTTTATTGTGTGTTTCTGATGTACATCATTCATAGTCACTTTGACTTTGATGGTCTTATAAATCTGTTAAATAGACATTGAAATTCGTATTTTGGTTGTTCAGAACAAAAGTTATCTAAATCTGAATTACATTAGTATAAGTATTGTTTCAGTTCAATTTTTATACCAATGTCAATGTAGATTATATATCATGTTGCAAAGTATTAAAAATCCAATATACTGTTGAAGACAGTAAGTTTAGACAGTAAGTTGGTTAAAACATCAGATTAGAAACTGGGAGATCATGAGTTCTAGTTCTGTTTTAGGCACAAAAGCAGCCAAGTGACCTTGGGCTAATCATTTTCTCTCAGCCCTAGGAAGCAGGCAATGGCAAACCACTTTTGAAAAACCTTGCCAACGGGGACTTGTCCAAGTGGTTTCTGAGAACTGGGTTCAATTGAATGGCAGAAAAAAACCCCATTGAAATTCTTCCTGGAAGAAAAAATCCATACTCATTCCAAAAATAAAAAGTATGGAGCACTCTCTTGAATGTCTGGATGAGGATAAATCAATTGAAATTAAATTAGATGAACAAAAAGGTTCGTGGTCAGTATAAAATCAAACTTAACGGTTGGGATTTAATGTATTCTAGAAACATGTTATAGGTTCCCTTGAAAGAAGAAATGTACATTCTGAACAAGCTTTCTGATCTGATGTGGATCCTGGATTTCCCAGATGATGGCAGCAAGGATCCTGCAGAGCAATTACTTTTAGTGTCACTTGCAACCATTCCTGAGCTAGCTAACGAGGTAACAGCTATCCATGTATTATTTATGTAATGACTAGACAATTGAAATTTATTTTTAGAACAGTTCTTAAAAGAAAATCCAGAAATGCAAAATATGGCACCTAAGCTACTGATTCAGAATATGAATCATCCATTGTCAAAAGAGAAGATCTACACTGAATGCTTGATAGAAAAAACCTTCCTGATTTAAAAAAAAATGTGTTGGTTTAATTTTTGCAGTTCCAAAATAGCTTAGGGTCTGGTTGGTGAAAGAACCCCCCATCTCATTTATACTTAAACGTATACACTTGAAGAAATACCATGGAACTACTTTCTGCCTTTTAAAATAGATTTCTTCAAGAACTATGAAACAAAACCTTTTCTATACTACAGTATCCTTTGATTCTATTTTAACAATTTATTAATGAGCAATTTATTAATGAACAATAAATTGATATTGTTAAGCATATTTAAAGTATATTTTGCTAAAAACAACACAAATTATACAGGTTTGGAAGCAATTCTATCTCTGTGTTGGCTTTGATGCCAAATAAATTTATTCTGGATAAATTTTGTTACCATATAAATTGCTAAGCCCATGCATATAAAACCAGAAAGCAGTACCAGATTTAGAAAGTTCAGGAATTAACTCAGAGATCTGCTTAGCTCATCAACTAGTGCAGGGGTAGGCAACCTTGGCTCTTTTATGACTTGTGGACTTCAACTTCCAGAATTCCTGAGCCAGCAGAGCCAAGGTTACCTACCCCTGAACTAGTGTATTAACTCTGCTTTAATTTAGTGAAATTCAGTTTTATTTATTATGAAACTAACTTTATATTCTACTATCAATTTATTTATTTATTTATTTGGAAGGGTGTGTTTTTTTTAATTCCAATTTCTGGCTATCCAGGGCACAATGGGTCAGGAGGTACTCCATGCATTTTGATTAGTTGCAAGCATGCTCAGCAGAACTGCTAAGCTTTACATTTTTATTAACTCACAGATATGCATGGATTACTTATAGCATAACCATGTCAGCACAGCAAAGGTTTGTGAGTTGCAAATTAAATTGTTCATATTAACAGCATTTTTGAACAGCATAAAATACTGTTTGCTATTAATGCTTTATAAGCAAATAGGGGACAGGAGGCAATACAAAGAGCATCAAAAATGGTTATAATTGTAACAGTAGCTACAATTTTTTTACTAGCTTCTGAGCCAAACATTAGAGAAAATGCAACTTTAATCTCACTTGCAACAATTTTTACTGGTTTCTAAGCCAAACACTTAGTGAAAATGCAACTTTAATCTCACTTGATGGCTTAACAGTATTTACCATCAATGTTTAGCTTTACTTTCCAGTACTGATGTTTTAGCATTGTCAATGGAATTTTAAATAATGACTCATAATTACTCTATGCTCAAATAGTTTGCTATTAGATGGTATATGCATATTGGTTCCTTTACTAAAAGAATATTTCTCCAAAATAAGCTTCAGTGCCTTTACACCTGCTGTCTCAATATTCATTCTTTCTCTCTTAGTTATAGCCCATCTTTCATTTAAATGTTCTAGGTGTTCCCGCCTCTTTTTCCCTAAAAGAACACACCTGTGAGGTAGGTCAAGCTGTATGCAAGTCCAAGCTCATCTGTGGCTCAAACTGTATTAGAACCTGCAATTCTCCAATCCTAATTCATCACCTTAATCACATTGTCTCATAAGTCCTAAATATCTCACAATGGCAAAAAGTGAACGCCAGATTTTTTTTATGTTTAAATTTTCCTTCCCAATATATCTGAAATGCATTTGTAGCAATGATGTGCATTTTGCATACTGAGTGACAAAGCTGAGTTGTAGATGGTTTTTGTTTTGTCCCTGTACTAGCTCAATCATATCTATAAGGTTAAGCAGCTACAAGGAGAAATGTATACAAATGAAATGTAAATCCTTAAAGGTTTACTATGCTCAGCTTTTAGAGCAGAAATTCAGACCAATCCATCCACAATTACACCACTTTGTGAAGCATCAAGTAATATTTATTAGTATTTCTAACATTTTAAAGTAGAGACAGAATAATCACTAATTAGTATGCAACATGTCATTATAGTTGCAACAAAATATATTTTCACAAATACAATATATAGCACTTTTATAATATCAATGTTCTCAGTGAATGCTCAGCATGAAACCCCCATATTTTTGAACCAATCAGGCATACAAAAACTTTTGTTACTTAAACATCATGTTGATATAAATGCAAGTTCAACATAAGTAAGTTTAAATTTGAACAATATAGTATGTGCTAAAACAAGAAGGGTGCTTAATAAATTAATAGTTTCCAAGTAAGAAGTCTACACTCAAGCAATTACATCTATATTCAGAAAATAAAGATAGCATTTTTAGAAGTACTGAAGCCTGAAATCTTAATTTCAACTTATTTTTTCTTCCCACTAGAATCATACATTTAATTCTAAACCAGAATATATTCTTTAGTTTGGGTTAGGTGCATAATGTTCATTCCTGTCCTTCATGTATAAAATGCATAAACATCCTTAGATTCACTTTGTGAAATCAGATTTAGCAGTTACAGGGGAGTCACATTTGCTTGTAATCATTTTATCACCACAAGTCTCAATGTACTGGCAGAATACTGTGAATCAGGTTTCCATACATATAACATAAGTCACAAAGAGAATAATAACCACATAATTTCATCATGCTGCATACCTACTTAACTTCCTAGATCAAAATTTTCTCATCTATAGAGCTTCACATTTGTGGAGTTAATATATTTAATATTTTTCTATACATACACAAAAATAAGATACAAATATCAGAAATATTTTAAAAGGGAACATACTTGGGTTAAATACGATCTCTTAACAGTTCAACAGTTTTTGGTAAATAAAATATTTACATTCATTGTAAAATAAAAGTATGAGTGAATAATCAATGTAATATTGGTACAAAGCATCAGTCATCAACAGTGATTTAATTCACACACACACACACATATGCAACTCTCCCATCAACTATTTCCACACTATACCATGTCCCTAGAAAGCATTCAAGAGACAAACGTTTCATGTTATAGTGTAGAGGCATCACATTCATCAATGCACTAGACTGACCTTGAAAATCACTAGAGCTTTAGTTCGACACTTTTTAACAAAGTCACTACCTCCTCCTCTGAAACTCAAAAGGTAAGTGACCAACCTTCATTCTTTCCAATGTACCACTTGGGAAGACCTGGATATTGAGATGTATTTTAGAGAGGTGAAAACTGAAACAAGAGTTCATGCAGTTGTAAACAAGGTCATTGTTATATTTTTTTTTAACTTGACATATTTCAGGAAAGCCTGATGCTCTATGTACATACATTGCATTCTTTGTAGAAATTCACAATTGATGCTTCAGCTACAGTTAACCCCATTTTTTTTTATTTCTGTTCTTGTTTAGAATTTCCAGATTAATAAAAGCATATATTAAAAGAAATAAATTATTTCTCCAATTTCTCACAAAGCCTGATGTAATGTCATTTTTTAAAATTCAGTAACTGTATCTGTCAATATAAAACAACCCAAGGAGGGATATTACCTGAGACTTGGATATGCTTTTCTTATTTGTAGAGGGGTGAAGCTGAATATGCTGCAGTTTCAGACTCTGCGCGAATGACAGCTTTAAACTACAGCCAGTTTTATTTTTATACCAACACTATAAATCCAGCCATTTGCAATCCAGCTGCATGCTCATTAGCTGCGAACCGTAGCGGTTCAGCTCATTTCTGCTCATTCTACTAATCTCCTGTCTTTACTCCATTTATTTGCCACTTTTGCTGCTGCTCTGCCACAAAATACAACACTGCCCCATCTAAGATTAATTGATCATCAATTTAATCCTAATTTGGACCAAGTCAGG